GATGGAGCTCTCTCTCCCTGGCAGGTAGAGGCCAGTGCACCGGCAAAGGAGAAGGAGGCTCAACTCAGGCCTGGGCAGGGTGGGGGCGGGATGGGAGGCTGCCTGGTATGTGGCATCAGCAGGCAGAGCAGCGGTCACTCTTCTCAGCCAGCCCGGCCCCAGTGCCAGGGCTGCGTCGCAGTATGTCTTTCAGGGAGCCATCCTGCTCGCTCAGCAGCTTGTTGATCTCATTCTGCTTGTATTCAGGTGAGAGGCGGTGGCCAAAGCCTGAGCCCTTGCGGGAGGGTGGATTGGAGTGGCGTCGGGCCCTGCGGGCACAGGCCCGGATGATGAGGTACACCACTTCGGCCACATTGAGGATGATGCAGATGCCGGAGGCGACCAGCATGAAGACAGTGAAGACGGTTTTCTCCGTGGGACGGGACACGAAGCAGTCCACTGTGTTGGGACAAGGGTAGGCCTCACACTTGACAAGCCGCACCATGGCGTAACCAGGGTAGAGCAAATAAAAGACGTACATGAAGGCAGCCTCGAACATCAGCCGGAAGACCACGCTGATGACATAGGTCCACCACAATGTCCCTGAGATGTGGACCTTGTGCCTCTTCACCTCCTCCAGATGTAAGGGATCCCCATGGCCTTCAAGTCGCAGCATTTTCTTTTCTATGTGCTGCTGGTGAGCCACATGCATGGCCACGAGGAGAGCTGGGGTGGAAACCAAGATGAGTTGCAGAGACCACAGACGCACATGGGAAATGGGGAAAAAATGGTCATAACAGACACTGTTGCAGCCGGGCTGGAGGGTGTTGCAGATGAAGGAAGACTTCTCATCACCCCACACACTCTCTGCAGCCACCACCAGCACCATGATTCTGAAGATGAAGATGACTGAAAGCCATACTCGGCCAATGGCAGTAGAATGCCGGTTCACGCCACTGAGCACGGTGTACAAGCCTGTCCAGTTCATCCTGCCTCATTCACACCTGTAAGACATGAGCCACAAAGCAAGCTGTCAGAGAGCTGGGGCAGAAGGCCAGTCACCATAACACCATCTGACACCCCCCCCCCCTCCATCAGGCCTTCCAAGAGCCAGTGACAGGAAAGGAAGAAGGATACTCATAACTTTCCTCATCACCCCATCTCCCTTGCCAGCCTCTCCTACTCACTCACTCACTCACTCACTCACTCACTTGACTTGACTTCCCAGAGCCCCATCTCCCATTTTTGCTTTCATCCAACATTCATTCCTCTCTAGTCCCTTTCTTTGCCAGGCACATCTTGTTCTGCCTTTAGCCATCCTCTTTAGCTCCCCATCCGCCAGCTCCTAAAGTTTGAAGCTGGGGCAAACCCAAAAAGCCCTGTTACCTTGGGGAGCGCCTATCCCTGAGGCCACCCAGACAGGTCCCCTATGGTCTCATGTCTGTGCCGGGGGAGTGGTCCCTGGGTCCGCGCCTGCGTCCCAATTCATCACCACCCGGTGCTGGGGAGTCATATGCTGCTTTATACCCAGTGTCTGCACAATGGGACCTTTGTGGGTCTCTGAACAACGCCCTTTAGAATTCAGATCAAACGCCCTGACTTCCGCCCACCCTACACACAGAGCACTTGTGTCCCAGCGCCAGACACCCAGCCTGCACCCACCTGTTCTGTGCCCGCCCGGTCCATCGCCACACCACCCCATAGCCCCACCAGAAGAATGGCCGTGGCGTAGGGGGAGGAGATTTAACAAAGACAGGTACATGTAAGAGGGCACCAGAGAGAACCATGACATTCTTGGCCCAGGCCCTTCCCCGTGACCCTGCTAGAAACTTATGGTCCGCTGGATTGTTCCTAGATTTAGATCCCCTCCAGGGTATGGGTGAGCTAGATAGAGGAGAGGAAAGGGAGCTCATGTTTATCAAGCCAGGAACTGTGTTATAGGCACTTTCTCATACATTCTTTCTCTTGATCCACTTAGCCAGCCTCTAAGGACTGTCTTTCCAGATGAGGAAGCTACAGCTCAGATAAGTTAAGTCACTCACTCAAGTCACACAGCTTGGAAGTGTTGGAGTAGGATGAAACACAAAAGGATCTGAAGCAGAAGTCTAGGCTCTTTCCACAGTATAGTTGTGCTTTTGCAGATAGTGTCAGCAAAAGCCAAGGCTAGCAGATAGTAACAACAACAAAAGCCAAGGCTAATGTTACACATAAAAGTGTGAGCAATAAAGAAGCTGTTGACCTGTGAGTAAATTCCAAATCCAGTGTCATGGAGCATACCCTGGCCACCTCTCCTTGAGCTTCTGGAAAGGGAACCCATACAGAGGGTGGACAGGTGGACACATGGTGAGAGCAAGCCAGAATGAGAAAGAGAGAATCAAACAATCAAGTAGAAAGTTAGAAGATGGAACAGGTAAGAGTTACACAGCTTTGGGTTTGAATCCTGGTTCTGCACCGAATATGACCCTGGGCTAGTGACTGAACTTCTCAGAGCCTTCTTGCTCATGTATAAACAGCCTTAATATCCAGGGTTATTAAGCAACCTGCAAAAGTTCTTAGCTCAGCTCCACTTTCATAGTTGCTAATCAAGGGAAGTAAGAACCTTACCAGGAAGAGAAAACAATGTCGATTTGGGGGACTAAGTGGGCTGCCAAACCCAATCTCTCTCTTTTTTCTTCCCAATGCTATTGTTGACCTATAGTGTCCATCTGAGATAGAACAGACTGTTCCATTGCTGCCCTGCCCCCTATGTCAAGTGTACACTGTAACCTCCTGGTTTCCCAAGCTTGCCAGTTGCTCTAGGGAAGAAATTCACCTCTATCCATTAGGTAGGCAAGAAGGCCTCCCCCTACCTCCCACCACTTCTGCCATTAAGTTGTAAGAAGATCATACTGGAAGCAGGGAACTGAATGTGAGGACACAGGCCTGAACTCGAAGAAAATACAGGGAATTCCCTGCTCCCACTGCAAGGGGCAGTGGTTGTGGCAAAAATCCCATATCTAGTTCTAGGTGGTCCTCTCTGTTCCAGGGAGGAGGGGTGGGGAATTAGTAACTGGAAAAGTTGTGGAATGGAATGAAAGAAACTAGGGGATAAAGGGATGGTCCACAGGACATAGATTACTTATTTGAACAAGGTTTCTTCATTTCATGTAATATCATTAGTGAGTTCATGCTATGGGGCTAAGCCAGCGTGGGGAGCAGGAACACAGGTGCCCTTTCTCCCAAGCCTAGGGTTCTGAAGGCAGAGCTGCTATAGGAGGCACCACGGTTAGCTATAAAGAAATGTTTTTTCCAGTGAGACATTACATTCAGAAACATGTGGTCAAAAAACATTAAGAATAATTGTTTACTGAGCACCTGTTATGTGCCAGGCCCTTGCACACGCACCATCTCATGTAAAACTCAGAACAACCCCACGAGGTAGGTGTTACTTTGAGTCCTCATGTCACAGATGGGGAAACTGAGGTAAAGAAAGGCAAAGGGATTTGTACAAGGGTCACAAGGGTTGCGCAGTTAGCACATGACCGAGCTGGGATCTGAGCCATGCTAAGTTGACTCCAGAGCCCATATTCTGTCCCATAAGCTCTACTGCTTTGGCTGGAATTAATTTTCTTGTTGTGTTTTTAGAAACAGGGAGATTCAAAACTGGTATGGCTTTATTCTCTTGTAGCCCCTTCTCCTCTTTCCTATCAACTGACAACTCTTTTCTTTTCCTTCCTTCCCAATGTTTTCTGCTGCATCCTGGTTTGTTCTATTTTCCCTTCCTTAGCTTTCTTGCTCTGCTTACTCAAACTCCAAAGAAAGTTTCAGCTGTCTCTTCTTTCTACCCCTTGGGGTGCCCCACAGACAGCCTAGCCACCTCTGAGTTTCTAGGTTCTTGTAGCTTTCAGCCTCTTATCTTCTTGAGTGTTCTGGGACATGGCCAGTAGCTCCCTTTGGGCCCCTAAGGACTCTTGTGCGGGCACTTGGATCTCAATTTTTGCTCTCCTATTTGGAAGGAGAGCTGATCCCTATGCCAACATTAGTACCTCAAGGGTTTCATTTTAAAAAACATCCCGGGGCGTGACCTGATTTTGAAATCCAAACTGTTTTTTTTTGTTTGTTTGTTTTTACTTTGGGTTAAAGTCCAGATATTTATATGCTCTGTGTTGCTCCCGGTGTGTTTTGCCCTCATGTTTAATTATACAAGGCAACAGAGGCTCAAAGAAGCTGAGCAAGTGCTGGAGCTCCAGTTAGGATTCATGTTGGTTCCTCACCGAAGCCTGGGTCCTTTCCCCAGTGTTTTGCTGCATCCACATCTATCCTCTAACCATTCAAACCCCTCTTTCTTATCTCTATTATCCTCCTCTCATCTCATTTTCTAAGTTTATGCATTCTACCATGCCATTCCTAACAGCTGGAACAACTTTCAAACAGCTGGAAGGCAGTCTATTTAGATCTCCAAATTATCAGTTACTCCAAGCTCTGTTTAAGTCTGTCTGCCTCCCTCAAGTACATGGAAATACATGCTCCGAAATTTTAGCTCTGTTGGCTGGCCCTCTGCACCTACTGAGTGCACTGTATTCATCTACCCGCAGCCCCCATATTGGTTGAATGCCTGGTTTGCCTTCTAATCAGGGAAGGAAAACAGCAGTACCCAATGGTCCCACTGAACCCTAACCCTGTGTGGTAGGAAATGTTCTAAAGAGATGAACT